GGCTCCCGGCCGGGGCCCCAAGTATCAGTTCAGGACTCGTCAACCTGGAGAAGAAGCCCCGAAAGTGGAAGGTGGGGACTGCCAGTGAATGCGCATGAGACGCCTCATTCCCAGCCGGCTAGGAGCGAGCATGGACTCAAACCCAGAATCGGCGCAGTAGATCATTGCCGGAGAGCCAGGCAGAGAACCTACTCCACAGAGCCTGGGGTGGTCTAATTAAAACACCAACCTGACCGTGCCCCTTTACTTGAACTCCTTCCCCAGGCTCCCTGTCATCTCCAGGCCCAGCGCTGGCTCCTGGGTGGCATACAAGGCCTGCGTGACGGCCCTGGCCTCCTCTCCAAGCCTCTCCGCATCCCTCTCTGTATCACACTTGCCGCCCCAGCAACACAGCTGTTGAGTGCCCTTGCCCATGCCATGCTGGTTCTCCACCTTGCTAACATCTCACCCTTTAAAGCTCAGCTATACCTCCTACGGAAAACCTTTCCTGACCCTCCCCACCAGGTTAGGCGCCCCGCCTCCGAGATTTCATAGCAGTCTTCCTGTCCCTGCTCTTAACCATATCGCCCATGTCTCGGGCAGGAATTAGATCTTATTTCTTCTCCAGGACAATTTGTAGGTTGTCACCATACACTAACTGGAACTAACTGGAGTGCTTGCTCTTTACTAGGTGCCCGCTCAGTGCTGTATGTGATTGATACGGTTTACTCCTCCCCCGAGGCAAGCATTTGTACTATTCTTACTCTACAGAAAAGGAGATCAGGGCCCCGGGAGGTCCATTGTTGCCCAGGCACATGAGAGAGACAAGGTTTAAGCCCAGGCAGTCTGACCCCAGAGCCTGAGCTCTTAACCACTGAATGTACATGGAATGAATGAGTAAACAGCAAATGAAACAGATGGGGGCAAACAATCCTGGAAGGCTGCCTGTAGGAGTTGCCTTTTGGACCAGAGATGAAGGCCATGACTTGGTTCTAAGGAGTAAGAGAAGGACCTCTCTTAGGGCCTGAGGCCAAGATAGATAGAATGGGTAGAGAAACATTATGTCCAGTGACCTCGCTAGAGCTCTGAGGACTCAACACAGGAAAGTCTGGACAATGTCATCGCATGATGGTAAATGGTCTGGACTGGAAGTCCAAAGGCTGGCTTTCTCTCTGGTCCTGGCTCTGTTGCTTTGTAATCTTAATGGAGTGATTTAACCTCTTTGGGCCTCCGTTCTGTTTATAATAGGAGCAATTTGAATGAGAAGCTTTCCAAGGCTCCATTCAGCTCTGGTTTTGCATGTGTATGAGCTAGCGAGTGGGCGAGAGACCAGGGAGGGCAGTTTGGAGGCCCTCCTCAGTGCTATTGGTCTGAGAGATGCCATGTGGACCCTCTTCGAGCCAGCTGCCTGCCACAGCCTCAGAACCATGTTCCCAGAAAGCCGGGAAACTCAGCACATTTTCTCTAATTAGACGTTAACTTATCAATTCTGAATGAGATAAGTTTCCATGTATGATGTCCTGAATTGCTCCCCAGAGAGCTCATTAGTCACTTCCCCGGCAGCTGCCTCATTGTTGTCCAGATGCCAGCCGAGGGACCTGGCATTTCCCTTCCCCAAGAAGCAAGCACATGAGGCTGAGCCAGCGACACTGGCCTTGGTCAGAGGGGCCAACCAGACCCGGGTGAGGGCCTGCCTGGTGAAATCACACGGCCCTCAGCTCTTGCCCTTTACCCTCTGACGCTGCCAAAACCATTGCCTCACTGGTGCCTCAAATCCAGATTCCTCCAGTATTGGGCCAGACTCCGGAGGGCCACAGATGAATGGAGCAAGCATTTATTAAGCACCTAGAGCGCCAGGTACCGTGGATCCCAACATTCTCTAGGCTGGGGGAAGAGGGGTATAAATGAGGTCGTACTAATATTAATGTCCAAATTCCAAAACTGCAGGCCTCCCACCCCTCAAGCCTTTCCTAATATTTAAGGTGTTTCATAGAGTGGGGCTACATACGTGCTTGCGATAATTTGGCTCATAAGTTTTATTTCTTCCTACCCCACCCAGGACTGATGATAGACTCCCTCCTAGTGCTGCATTCTCTATTGTGGCCTCCAGGTGGCGCTGTGCGCCTGTGGTTGCGGCAGGCTGGAGGCCTTGCAGGGGGAGCTGAGGCGATGCCTGCAAAGGCCTGTGTAATTTTCTCTTGCCTGCGGGATGGGAAACAGGCCTGGGCGCCTGAGGGCAGAGCCAGAGGCAGAGGAGGACCCTGGGCTGCTAATCCCAGGCCTACCTGTGCACAGCCAGGACAGAGGAGCAGGAAGCAGGGATTTTTCTTTCCTGTTCCTTTCTCTGCCCAGCTCCCCAGGAAGCTGGGTGCAGATGTGAAAGTTTTGAGAAATCCAGAAAATTCAGGGGAGGGGAAAAATCCTACATTTTCCCCCCTATAATTTTCCAGGCATTCACATCTTTAAATACACTAACCATGATTTCCTTCAACAAAAACGAGATATGCAAAATGCATCACATGCTCTTAAAATATCCAAATGACTTCACGCTGGTAAAGGGAGCTTAAAAAAACTGTAGGGCACGGATTTTGGTTTTCCCGGTGGAGAAGCCCTGCTTCTCCCCGCCCAGCCTGCTCCCCTCATTCTCATCTCCCAGGGTCCTGTCTCCTGTGCATCAAGCTCCTCTGTCCCCTTCTCCACTGCCTTTGGGAGCTGACATCACTTTACTTGCCAGTTCTGCCTCTCGCCTGCCCTTTTTGTCTCTTGCCTCTGGGTGTGTGAAAGGGTTTCTTCCTCTGCACGTGGATCTGTCTTCCTC